ACACACACACACACACACACACACACACACACACACACACACACACAGAGAGAGAAACTAGCAAGAGCACTTTAAGCCTGCTGTTTCAACGTGCTGCTTTGAGGTCGGACAGTTCAGAATTCACAACATTCTAACAGGGAAAGCATTAACAATTTATTCAGAGAAAAGAGGCCTTTTTCAGGCAGAAAAAGTTCTCCAGAGGCCTTTATTTCAATCAACATTACTGCTTCTGGTTTATTATTTGCATTAAACAGCAACCAATTTCGTTATTTTGTGTTTGATTAGGAAAAATAAAGAAATAGAGATTTGAATGTATCCTTTTTCCACCTGATAAAGCAGCCAAAATTGTATTAGCTCCAAATACTGTAAGCCACTGTGGGCAGAATGCAATAATCATGTGTAAAAAAAAAAAAATAAATAAAAGAAAGTGCACCCTCTGTCATCATGAAATTGTTATCATAGCAGGACTTCACAGATAATCATCTGGATTTTAAAAGTCTTAAAACGGAGTAACTGATACCTCAGATGAGTAAGAACGCATGTGATAATACACCTTGTTGTTGCTTTAAGAAAACTAAGCGTATGTAAAGCTTCTGTCAGATGCCCTGACACTTCCACCACCGTGCTTGACAGTTGGCAGGAGGTGTTTATAAGACACTGAACACGCTGTTGATTATTTTTGGAGCCTTTTCAATAACATAATTTCCTGTTAAGTGTTTGTTTATGTTTTAATAACTTTTTATTTCTCTCCAAAGTAAGGTTGTTGGTATAATGTCATTCTTTTTTGGGGTTTTGAATGTCTTGCATCTTTTAGAGGCAGCAGGCTGGATAAGAGCTAAGTGTCTGCATTTTGGCTTATAGGTTTATAATTACATAATGACACAGTTGAAAGGTGTAATGAAACATGTAATTCGCCATCTGAGGTTTTATTGACCTAAATTTGAAACCTTGTTAAGAGTAGTTAATTTTCTTTAAAGTTACATACAACTTTTAATAACAGCTGAAAAAGGGTGAGCTTTCTTTTTAAGATATTTGAATCAGAGGCAGAAGAACTTTTGGTAAAAATTCTCCACCGACATTTGCTTTTCTGCTATTGCTATTCTGTCTGGAGTCTAATATGGAGCACGTCACATGTAGCTGAGCCTGTTCTCTGTTGAATTTGGATGCACGAGAAAAGTAAGGCAAGATTAGCATAATAAAGAATAAATAAATAAATCTGTCACTGTCCGAATTGGCTGACCTACGTGTGCATGTGTGAAGGGAGTTTGTCAGCTACCAAAGCATACCTTAACTCCTTTCTGTCCAGGAGACCCGTTACTACGACTCCCCTAAAAACAAAAATGGTTAAAAACATATCCAGCCAACATTTCCATGCAGAACACTAAACCTCCTTGACATATTTTAGATAATACTCTTTATTCTTTAGTAGTATTGCCTTAAACTTACCATCTCTCCTGGAAGGCCAGGTGGGCCAGGGGCTCCCTTAAAAAGACAAAAGAGCCAAAGTTAGACTGACAAGGAAACTCAGCAGATGCTAAATTATAACCGTGACAGCAATTTAAACTCTATGTAACTCATGTGGAACCTTTTTTTTTTTTTTCAAGATGTGAAATAAAGAAAAGGTTAAATCTAAAACAAACTTCAACATTTCACCACATTAGCATTTAGTCATAAAGGCGACAACAAACTCAAAAAATGTTATCATTCTATACTTTATTCTTTTCATTATATATATAATATTCTGGGGTGGAAGTTGACAAGAAGCTCCAGGGGGGCTTTGACTTATGTTTCCAGCCATTAAATGTCATCATTCCAATAATTTATCACTGAAACTGCATTTATGAAAAAGGAGACTTTAAACTGTGAAAGGCAGTCGTGGATTTTACATACTGGGTATCCACTAGGTCCTCTTGGACCTGGGAAGCCGGTTGGACCATAAGGACCTGGGAGGCCCTAAAAATGAAAAAAGAAAAAGCAAACTTTAATCTTATTTCACATAATGGCACAACAGCACAACAACGCATTGCAGTTCATTAAAAAGTCGTGTAGATAACAGAATGTCAGCCTTACAGGTGGTCCGGGAACTCCTGGTGGACCCTAAATACAAACGAAGGGAAAGAAAAACAGTTTTTCAGCAAGCAAATAATCAATCACTAATTCATACTGTAGCACCATCTACTGGCCAAAAGCAGTCATACATTCTTTCCTACTGGAGTGATTAGAATTTAAAATTACACGGAGTTTTGACACCGTCTAAAACAGATAAAAAAGAAACAATAATAAAAATGTCTTATTTATATTTATATATAGAAAATGTTCAAGAAAATATGTCAGCTTTACATAAATATAGTAAAAACAGACCAGTAACCAGGTAAGTTACAGCTTACATCTCAGAGAAAGTTGAATGAAAGTTTGAAGATTTGGTAGGAATGAAAAAAAAGGTGGGAATCACACAGTAACAGTCGGATCTGTCACAGTTATAAGGAATCATGTTCTAACTGGTAGCTCTCATTTAACCGGCAGTTTAGTGTGAGCTCAGAAATCGTGAATGAAGACGCACACGTCTAAAATCTTACCGAGAAGGGAAATTCTGAGATGTAAACAGGATCTCCTTTCTCCCCCTTTCTACCAGCTGGTCCCTGTTGAAAGCAAAAACACCATCAGTATCCCTCTACTTTTAAAGAAAGGATTCAAGAAATATCTTCAAGGAGGAGAAACAAAGAGAGAGACAGAGCAAGTACTCACACGAGGTCCAGGGTCACCCGGTTCTCCTGTCCCGTAGCCGGGCAGTCCGGAATCCCCTTTTGTCCCGTTGCAGCCGTCAAGTCCAGGATGTCCTCTGTTACCCATCTGACCAGGGTGGCCCTAAAAGGTGAAGGAGAGAAGGGTGACCTTAGCCAACACCACGCAAAACCGATCATCTTTGACTAGAATGTCAGACTTTTCGGTATAAAATAAGGAAAAGTCTTGAAAATGTATCTTAAATGTTAAGTTCTTAGAAAAGTTTGAAACGTATCTTATTCTCCTTATTGATAAATTAGTGTGTCAATTTCAGTTAGCTGATGCAACACACAGGAAACATTGGAATTCTGTCCGGAAACATAAAATATTACTAAAAGGCCAACTTGTGGATGTGAATCTTTGAAGTTATGTCCTTTTATGGCAATTCTGCATCCAAAAAACTAGGGTCTGTTAATTTTTAGCACATATAGGAATTTGACACTGCAAAATTGTCATATCAGTACAAAACAACAGGAATGTTCTACAGTCATTACATTACAGCAAGAAAATCTATTATTCTCTTACTTTTTTACATAAAAAAGGATTGTTGGAGGTTTGGGAGTTGCATTGAACGATTTTAACTTAATATACTTCCAAATGTAATTCAAAATGCTGTTCAGAAAATTAGGAAGGCAAATCATACCCATTTAAATAAAAGACCGGAATCAAGTCTCACAATATCGGAATCAGAACATCATGCAGCTGATGAGGTGAACACGCGTCCGGTCTACTTACAGGGACTCCATCTGTTCCTGTAAATCCAGGCACTCCCATTGGTCCCTGCACAAGTAAATTCAATTACTGGAAAATACGGCACATGCGGCGTGTGTGGTGCAACTTTTTTCAACCACATCGGTTGGATAAAGAGTCGTGTTCACTAAAGCTTTCGAGAAAAGGAATGTTTCTTTACTACCACCAGCATAATACATAATACAGACTTTCCCTCTGGCCTCTGACGCAGTATCTAAAGAGGCATGGATGACTCAAAGCCACAAAAGTAAGCACTCCTCTCTGTCGAGCTCCTTAGAGTCTTTGAGAAATAATGGATACCGCATTGTACTGTCTGCCTAGAGGAAATACAGTTGCCATGAAGCGCTATATATGGTCTCCAGGGGTAACATCTATCAAGGCTACATTAAGTGGGATAAGATAGATTTGGTCAAAGATAAATAAGTGCTCATTACTTTGTCTCCTTTGAGTCCAGGTTGTCCTCTGACTCCCAGGTGGCCCTTCTCTCCTTTAGGCCCTACAGGCCCTGGGCCACCCCGTGATCCTTCCGGCCCGCTTGGGCCCACTGGTCCGAGAGGCCCTGGACGACCCTGAGAGAAAAGAAATAAAAAGAACAATGCATCCAATTATGAACCCCTGCTCCAGTGGACCTACGAAGCATTTCTTTCACCTGTGGAAAAAAAAAAAACCCCAAAAAAACAATGTTTGAACCGATTTTCAATTACGTATTTTATCCTTTTTCCCCGACCCCAAACCTAACAATATTGCTACTGATAGTACAGATATTAGAAATATAACAAACTTGTGTCCATCTGCCGGGTGATGTTAATGTCAGAGGACCAATCACTAGCCGTTATCTGATCCTTTAACATCTTTACAGAAACACATGCAGTCAAGCTGTGAGGGAAGCCTCTGTGTCCTTTTGTTGTTTATTTGATGAGTGTGTTGATATGGGCCGGGAACATGTTCAGACCAGCTGCATTTTTCTTTATCTCCCCCCCCTCTCTCAAGGAGAGGTGTGTCCCAAAATCCCAAATCCCAGAGGGATGCTGATGTGCTTAATACAGGCATGTGGTGGCATGTGGTCTCTGCGAAACTGTGCTGCTGTGACCAGAGACGGTTTAAAATCTGGGCGTAATGAACTCCTTTTGGGTTGGAGTTTCAATTGCGACGATCAAAATGAGACGAAATCGAATCAAAACATTGGGACATGTGAGCCAAAATCAAAGGGATAAGAAGCCCTGAAAGCGCCAGAAGGCGAACGGTGAACGCGGCTTTTGATGAAGGGCGACAGGCTGCGTTGCTCAATGTCGGCCACATGGTGGCAGCGTGAAAACACGGACTGGTGTTGAATAAGAGGTCGGCGGCATGGGGTCCCCGCCATCAGGAGGCCGGACCCGACAATTCAGTGAAAGAGCAAGCATTGACAGAACAACTTAAGCTAATGACAGCCTGCGGTTAGCCCATCTTTAATGGGGGTATAACAGGCTATGGAGGGGAAGAGATAGATGGAGATGGGAGGAGAGGACAGAGACAGGCAGATGTTTGTTGCTGGGTCAGAGGAAAGTCGCAGGAATGCGATTTGAAAACTCCCACGTCGCTGGATCCAACAGCGGACTATCCAAATCTGCGTGACGGTGGCAGATACGGGGAAGTCTGTATATGGCCAAGTGCTTAAAGATAGAGCTTTGATTTCTATCAGTATTCCCTGGGAAAAAGGAAACGTACATTCCACTGATAAAGCTGGCACACGGTAAAATAACTGGTAAACGGAGTTATCTCTGCAGATGTGAGATGTTAACAGGACTGGCATGGATGGCTGCGGGTCACTGATAAGGTTTCTAATTCTGTGACAGCCAAATTGTCAGAGAAAATAAAGAACCTCTTTTCCCAAAAGAACATATAACAGCTGGTTAGCTTAGCTCAGCATGTCTTAGTCCTAAAATAAACGCGTTTTCCAGAAAAAAACAAAGACCGGATGAGTTATGCAACTACTCCAGCACATAAAATCAAACAGAATCTCACATTTGTGACTTTATTGTTCTCAAACTGTCAGTGATCTCAAATCCGCACAGTCTGGAGTTGGGGCTGCAGCTCGGATTCCAGCCGGCTCGGCCCCGGGGCGCGCACGGAGGCCTAATGACAGGGCTGTGACAGGTTAAAGGCACCCTGCCAGAGCCGTCTGTCCAACAGCTCCCACTCACACCTGGTTTCACCCAGAGAAAATATGCAGGACTTCCACAGGAGATCCACTTTCTCTCACGCCTTCCCCGTCACTACCTCAGCTTCCAAAGTTCACAGCGTCTTGTTCATCTTTCATCATGGGCTTTATCTCCCCTTCCATTGAACTTTCCTCCTGCTCTGGCACGTCTCCCATTGATTCCTTACAGCCGCTAACCTATCAACGCTAGGTCAATGCTACCTCTAGCCTCTATCGCACTGACTTTAGTTCCCTTTGGAGTCCCTGTTTATGCAAAAGTCCCTCATGAAGACATACCTCAACTGGTTGCGGGGTTAGCTTGTCAAAGGGTTTGAGTTCTTTCAAGTATCTATTTTCCGGAGCGCGGGTCACTTAAGCTGTTTGTCTGGCTTGAGTCAAGATGTGAGAGGTAAACTGTTAGGTTTGGCCGCATATTCTGTCGAGAATTCATTCTTGAGCATATCCATGGCCATTTAAGTCCTGATGATAGCAGGACGATAGCTACGGGATAATAGCTAACTCCACCTCCCCTTTTTGTGAGTAAACATGCGACATGGCATCTAAAATCTAAACTTCAGGGGATCTCTACTTTTTGCCAAAGTTTGAGGTGCGCTGAGCTGAGTTCCTGAGGGTTTAAACCCTTTTTATTCCCTAACATGGCATGGATGTGAATCTGCAGCCTGTTATCGGAGAGAAAGACATAAAAGAAAGAGGATGAAAGGAAACCCTAGACCAAATAAAAGGTTTATCAGATGACACAAAGACAGATTTGCGAATAAAAATAACAAAATCTGCTCTGGCAAACAATTATAGATCTTGGATTCCAGTATAATGGCATCTCAATTTGCTAGATTTGAGACATATTTGTGGCAAACCACAAACCTTCCAACTGGCAATCTACAGGCCGTGTGTAGGGTTAGAAATCAAAGCTACTTGTTTTAGGTCAAAGAAAAATGACGAAAGGGACTAAAATGGCTACTTTTAGCAACACCAACAATGCTATCGTTCACACAATCACTGGAGGCCGCATGTTCTTTAAACATAATTAGAAGTTAGTATTGCCTGCAAAAGCAAACGACCCAAGGGGCTGTTTTGAAAAGGAGAACAGACTCTCATCCAGATTATGTGCCTCAGTTTTTATACACAGAAAAAGACGAGAAAAAATGTTATCAGCGATCAGTCAATCCCCCGGCCAGTGTCTCCCCGAATCCCGACAATGTCTCACAACCTTGCCAATTCGTATCTCTGTCTGTTTCAATGCCAGCCCGCCAGGTCTCTACCCAGCTCTTCCAGACCTTCTATCCTCATTATTTTCCAGTAGACTGGTCAGTTTGTAGGCATAAATCCCTTCCACCACAAAGGGCACAATGGACCCTATTCTGGACCATAAGCTCTTTGGACTTACTGCTCTCATCGGGCCTACCTCACTTCCTGATAGAGGAGAGTGCTTGGACAGACAAATTCTAGCCGCCACATGTGTGAAAACCGGTGAGTGTGTGTTGCCCATGAACGCACACGCACGCGGCCGTAAACACACACCCTCGGGCCCTCTGAGAGTTTTATCGGGGCGTATTGTTTCGAGGGCCAGAGAGTGCTAAGGGGAAGATTTGAGCTGTCAGACCGCATGCTCACTTGGGGAGGATGATGGGTGGAAAACGGAGGGATGGGTTGGCAAATGCCGGGTCTTTGGGGACACGTTTAATCAGGGGCAGTGTGAAAGCTCAATTACAGTTTGGGCCAAATGCAAATTAACGCGTAAATCATCGCAAGCTCTAACGGCCTGGGTAAAAAAAGGCAGAGTGACAAATCGTGCCCTAAAGGAATGGGGACTTTTGGTCTTGGGGAATATGAAACAAGAGGACGGAATAACCCAAAAAGGCAGCAGGTCACACACCATCTGCACACTCCGATAAGATAAACAGGGGAATCCTCCTTCGGTGGGAATGTTTAGGTTGTGCTGATTCATTTCGATCTTCAGGCAGCGTACACAAACACCTTTGTTTATCTGAAACATGCTTGTCCTGCTCAGTGCTGATACAGCCACAAAAGACAGTGAGTCAGAGCCATGTGTGGCCATGACCTTCTAAAGATGTGTATACAACCATCAGCCAATTCAGTGGCTGTTTTTGCCCTGGCCAACTGGCCTCTTTCATAAAAATGCGCCAAGCTAATATTTTCATACCTAGCTAAACTGTTTCACCTTGCATTAACAAACCGCTCCGATTTGAGCCGCATTTCTTTTACGCACTTAGGTACTTCATGAGTAAAGGCCTAACTCTTGTCAATGATGTTTCCATTCCTTTGCTTTCAGTACAGGGTGGCTGAACAGAAAATAAATCTTCAGGGTCCACCTAAAGCCAATGGTGAAAGAACAACTGGGGCCAAATGGATGCCAACTATATTTATCTTAATTTGTATTTATGCTTCTCTAAAAAAACACTTCCTCTATGTGGAGACTCCAAAGACCAGTTCACACATAGTATGTCAGTATATTTCTATGACTTTTCAGCGTATGCCTCAGTAGCAGATCGCAAAAAATTACTGTATATTTAATTATTTTATGTCTAAAGGCCTGCTGAGTAGGGGGTATAACGTCTGGGTAAGCTTTTGATTCTGGGTCACCGTAGTTCTTGGCAAGTAGGATGGATTACACAAATCTTAACCATGAATACTGACATTGTATTAGTAAACTCAAAGTCCGGTTTAACCAAAGTGTAACTTACCCATTGTTGGGGGAAACGAAGAACATAAATGCCAGTAGAATAAATCCCTGTGAAACCATGAATCCCATTAGCCTTTGGCTAGGCGTGGGGCTTGACTTGTGGGACCTTACCACATTGTATCATCACAACAGTGTTAAACTGTTGATTGTGATGGATTAATAATGTTTGAGCTGTGCAAAACACTGGCGACCTGGTTTAAATGATACCACAATGGTCATGTTTCTCAACCCTCTAGATATCAGAATGGGTTGCAGTTCTCTAGTAATAGGGTTAGGGTCAGTCATGACCAAATATGGTGACAGATAGATATATAGTAAGTAACTTAACCGGAACTTTTTTTTTTCTTAAAAGACTTTTGTTTTTTTGCAATAACAGTTTAATCTTGCAAAGAGCAATCGTGAAAAGACTTGAACTACTATTGTGATTTATTGTGAGTAGAATGCAGAACAATCAGAATACGTCTATGTACATTTCTTTGATGCAGTGTAGAAATACCACTCCATCGAAATATAAAACTACGAATATTAGTGGACATAATTAGAAAACAGTCTCAAATATGTTGCTTTTCGGTGAAGCTCAGCTGATCAGTCTGCTTTAGGACAATCACGTTCCCAGCGGCTCCGGTCTTTTCTTCCTTCCACAGACTGTGTTTTTCTGGCCTGCATGCTCCCTCAGACAGATTCCCACCCCTCCTCTGCACCTCTGACTCATCCTGTTGCAGTGATGGCTGCCATTAAACAAACAACCTGTTCTCTCTTTTCATCCAGGTGCTTTCCCCTCCAATAAAAACCCCATTAGCGGTCAGTCGGGCGCACTGTCCCACGGTGATGATGTCATAAAGTCGCTGTTTTCTCAGCTGTCAGAGAGGAAGACTGCGAGGGCAGTTTGGGGAGAAATTCAATTACAGAGCTTCCTCAGATGTTATCTCTTCATTTAAATGCACATTTTGAACCTCCACCATGCATATCAACAACTCCTTTCTCCACAAAACAAGCAGCATCTAACAGAGGGAACATTTTTAAAGGGAATTCAACTTTTTTTTACAACCAAAATTCAGTTTGGAACATTTGTAAAATATGCAGAAAACACCTAGAAAATTTAAAGCAAGACATTTTTTTTCAATACTATTTTATGAATGACAACTAAGTCATTTTGAATTTGTCTTAGAAATTGCAACAATAGCCACATGAATGCTTGAAAAATAAGTGATGCTAAAAATGTTACAGCTAGATGATTCTTAATTATGATCCCAAAATGCTGTCATCTTCTCTGGACCAAAGCTTTTTCAAATTGGACACAAAGTAGATTTCTTTAGGGAAGACCTTGCATGTGTCAGCAAGACAATGCAACCCCTCCTTCTGGATTGATTTAAATAGCATAGTTTTAATGAATAAACATTGTTGAATTAACCTGTCTGCAAGTCAATACCTCTCTGCATCAGAAAATATGAGGCTGTTACCATTTTTTGGGGCATATTCCTGCTAACCAAATCGTTATACGCTAAATTTGTAATTGAAAAAGCTTTCGATATTTGATTTGTTGAATTACCTTTTGAACAAAAAAAATTGAGGCATCCGCATCTCTACAGTCTATTTTACTATTTACAGTTTCCCAGTCATTTCTGAGTTGGTGTTGTACATGATTAAGTTAAATTTGTTTATTGACATGTTAGACTCCCATGTTTCCACCCCTAAAAATTAGCCTGAGGTGATGACAACTCCCGAGTGCAAACAGCAGATGTAATTGGCACGTAAGGCCCCCTTAAACCTTTAACACCAGTGTGCAGATGTGACCGCAGGAGTAATTTAGACAATGGTGTCTGGTAATGGCTTTGAAATCAGTTGCTCAACTCATCCGCAATTTTGAAATGAGATTAAACAAAGGAAAATGGAAAACAAAGCCAAGATAACATAAATGTGGGCGCCTGGCTTACTGAGAGGCAGCAATAGATCCCTTCGTCTAGTTTGGGTAATGAGTTAAAGTGGGTAAAAGGGCTCCTTTTCTTGAAGGGCTCATCAGTTTTAGCTTTTGCATTAGATATCATCATTATTTTGAGTGTAATGCCTCATACTTTAGTTTGTTTTGAGGGGAAACCGAGAGTGGACTCCCAAGATCAGCTAAATGATAACAAAGATGCTGGAATCAAATGGGGTATAGAGATAAATCGCATTCCAGAGCAACAAGAGTATCGCGGTAGCCATAACATTGACAACAATACCTGACAAAAAGAATTTAAAGAAAACTGAGACAAAAATGTCTGCACAGTTTCCCCTTAATGTACAATCTAAGTAAGTTTTTTCTACACAGACACATTTACAAGACGCCCCACCTGAGGCCTGTAGAGTCTAAGATGTAGCTTGTGAGTTGTTTATTTTTTCCTGTTTCTTTGAGCGATGTACAATCTGACCTTGGAGTGAACTTGCTGGGACGTCCGGCCCATGGAAGACAGGCATTGGTTTTAAAGGATTTTTAGTTGTGATTAATCTCTCTCAAGAGACTCCAATTGATTTGAAAAGGCCTGGATGTAAACTAATTTTTTTCCCCACATTGCTTCCGTATTTCGCCTGTTTTTTTTCTCTTTAAATGAATGACAGTATGTTGTGTCACGTCTTGAGAATTTTGTGGTTTTAGCTCATTTTCTCACATTCTGACGTGATTTATTTCTGCATTACATCTGTATGTGTAAAACCATGTATTTTAAAGAGGCTGCACTTTATACTTTATGTCTTTAAGTCTGCTAACACCTGTGGCAGCAGAGATTGTGAATGACGATCCAAATAAAAAGTGGTCGTGAGTCAGATTTGACCGGTCTTGTGCTCTTTCAGCTTTCCTTAGTTATGAGAGAAGAAGACGCGCTGACAGAACGACAAAAGAGCGGAGGTGTAGAGACAAGCTCCAGCCAGCTGCGGTTAGTTGGATCACGATCGAGATTCCTGCAGAGGTTGCCAATACCCCGCTGCTAAAGAGCACATTTTCTGTCTCCATGTGTGAGTTTGGGGCCACGACTTCTTGGTTTATCTCATCTTTTGCTCCCTTTTAGACTAGGATCCTCTGCAAAGAGTATATGGCGGAAGGCCCTCTACTCTCATCTGATACGATCTGACGACCACCCAAACTGCAAGTCAGGACGCTAACCCTCATATTAAAAACTCTACATACGAAAGTTTTGATTAGGAAAGTCCTCTTAGACGCGAATAAACATAATTGCACATCCTATTGCCCTTTTTTTCCGTACTTAAAAGCAACAAGCACCTACATGTTAAACCACTTCTTACTGAGGGTAAGCTTCAGTCCCAGGCAGTAAAAGGGCACCTCTGCTAAAAAGAGTGGCTGTTCAGCTCCATGTTAACCATGCGTGTGCACATTTAAGTCTGTGCGCGTGTGTGGATACACGATGAAACAACTGTGGTTGTTCCCCTTTGTAACAAATGAGCCTGCAGATGGAGTAATTTTTTGGTCTCTCCAACCCAGCATAAAAAGTGGCTAAAGTCTCGCTAGAATGAATGAACTAGATATATCCATGCACTGGATCAGGTTGTTTTACAGGGCCTTGTCATTAAAAAAAATCCATTGCATTTAATCCAAAATCAAAAAGATACAAGGAGCTAGCATACCTTTAGCTACCTTTGTTTCTGTGTCATAGTCAAAAACACAAATTACACTTAGATTCATACATAAATCTATCAAATTTGACTATAAAGTTTATTATAAAAAGTAATCCTGAAATGAACCCTGTCTTTCTTCATTGGTGCCATAAGTATTTAATACAGGAGGAGCATCCTTCCAGCAGAGATAAAAGGCTCCAGCCCTCCAGAAAATGGATGCATAAATAAAGTATATTTTTTATTTTTTATTGGATAGTATGTTAACCTTCCACATTGGCTGTTCAATGTCTTTGTCAATTACAAAACAAAGCTACATAAGGTGCAGAAATGGCTAACTGTGCTTTGAGCATTTGACTCCAGATGTGCTATGCTGTCATCTTTTGAATCTGGGTTTAATCTAGCAGTATCTAATCGCTATTAAAGATAAAGATCTTCCTCAGCACATGGAGTCAAGTTTGGAATCCATAATAGTCAATAATGGTCAAGTCAATCCTGAATTAACACAAATGAACTAATCCTTATCCAATCAATGTACTTAACACTGGGGGTTTTCTAGGAACATTTCACCTGCCTGAGTAGTCAGGTGAACAGTTCCTGAAGGAGCCATATGAGGGCAGTGCAGTGTGTCAGAAACCGAGAGCGGCTCATGCTGTCTCAATGCATGTCTGACTTTGTGGTTTTTAGACCTAACCGCAGGTAAAACTAACACAGAAAACTCCCCCAGATGCGCAGGCAGGTGGAGGACTTCGACAAAAGAAGAGAGTGAAAATAACTTGAAGCTCATTTAGGCAAAACACAGACTTGGCCCCCGTCTGTGCGCCGGTGTGGGAATCTGTGCCCCGATGCCTCTCACCTCCTCGTCGACGGAGGCCTTCGCCTTAGCTGCGACCTTTGACCTCGGCCGGAATTAATGCAGTGCTTGGTGGTGACGGAGGGTGGTGGTGGTTGGGGCAGCTTTAAGCGTGTGTGTGGGGATGTGTGTGTGTTTGAACACAGAGAGCAGCGGGGGAGACAGAAGTTCAAAGCTATCGGTTCAAACTGAAAGACGAGGGGAGGTTTTGTCTATTGGGCCGTGGCGCACAATGGGAGGCAAAACGGCTGCTCCACCTTCGCCTCGCTGGTGTGTGCGGGTCTGTGTGTGTTAGGGGGGAAGCCTAAACAAAGCCCCCAACCACTGACAAACCTGCATGAAAGGGAGGGGGAGCCCGATAAAATGCCAAACGGAGGCCCGAGTGCGACGGTGTGTGTTTATGTGTGTGTGTGTCAGGAAGGGAAATACTTGGGTGACAGGCCGCTGCTGATAAGACTGTCCTGTACATTAAGGTGGTCTGTATGTACATGTACATGTACCGGCGCACACATGTGAGCTTGAGATGCGCTGGACGATAAGGAAGCAGGGAAGACAGCGAGACGAAGATCACAGTCATCAGCCGTGCCTGTCTCGGGGTCCCCAGTGCTCCTTCCACCGACTATCTGCGCGATCAAAGTATAGATAGGGCTGAAACGATCGTGGCGTACTGCTATGTGTGCCTCATTATCTACAAAGTTTTCCCTTTAAATGCTTTTTATGAATAAAATCCGATCCATGATGCACCCAAACCCACATTTAGATGCCCGTGTAGGTGTCACATTGATACCTTGCAACATTAAGTGTTGCCTCTCATGCTATCCCAGTTTCATTGCTTTTTCTTTCTAAGCTAAATGTACTTAGTCAACTCAGCCTTGCCTTTTTAAAACTGTCTGTTCAGCACAACATCATTAAGCTCAGCATCGGGAAGGTTGTGGCTTAGTGTTTGTCTTCCAGCTGTAAGGTTTGGCTGGAGCAAACTTAACCCCACACTGCCACTCATACAAATTGCTGTCGATATAAATAAAGACATGCATTCCACATATAGTGTGCACAAATAATAAGAAGCCCTATGTGTATGTCTGTGAATGGGTTGGGGTTAACCTTAACCATTCAAACAGCCTTTTCAAAAAACGTTTTACGGAACCTAAATAAAGTCACAAAGATGTGTTGGTCAAGGGATACAAGAATTTCTTGTTCTCAAGTTTCCATAAAGGTTCCGAGCACGCTTAATACTGATCAAGTATTATGCTGTTGACTCAGCTTGTCTCCGGTTCAGTGACTAAACTATACCGGTGCAAGATATCAACCCGTGGAACTGTGTCAGCATTGGACCTTAACCCAAAGCCAAAGCTTTTTATAGGTCTTTTCATGATGTGAAATAATCCTTTAATAGAGGCTCTCACATTTGCTAAATGCATTTTTTTTTATATTATGTGGAAATAGCATGGATGGAATCTAGGTTTTTCCCAAATTACGTTAGTATTTTCACTTAAGGGACTACTTTGCACTCTTACCAGCTATTTAAAAATTAAATAAATAACAAAAACAGATGTAAATAATAGCAATGTCGAAACAAGATTACAACAATAGCATGACTGTTTTTCTCAGCATCTGACGCCTTGTGAAGCTGGGAAAGGAAAAAAAAGGATGTTATTGTCACAAATGTTTAATTTGGTACTCTCCTGTGTTGCATAATTACATTTATATGACCTAAATATCTGCATTATCCTCTATCAGACTCCTGATAGTGGTACTGTTGATTATAAATTGTCTTTCCAGTTGTCCTGTGTCCTTGTAAGTCACTTAGGACAAAAGCATCTGCAAAGTCCATAAATACAAACCTAAATATAAATGAATGGAAAGTCACCCTAATTGTGTTGGCCTTTGATTTTATAGGGTAAATTTCAGGGAAACTGAAATTAGAGCATTAAGACGAATCCGCCCCTTTAACAGATGGTTAAAATCATGGCGTTCTCCTGAGCGCTCATCTTTAGACCTAAAGGTTTGTTAGAGCAAAGGAATGAGACTGATCAAAAGGAAGGGACCGCTGACAGAAGTTTCCACTATAGAGCGTCTGGGTGAGGAGCTCACCCAGTTAGAGGGGAGCCCCTGCTTTTTGAAATCAAAGGTAGCCAGCTGAGAAGGTTTGGACATTCGATCAGCATGCCTCCTGGGGACCATCCGTTGGAGATCCAGAACACATTGGAGAGATTAGGGGACCTATATGGCCTGGGGATCCCAAAACGGGCACCTGGACTTGGTTACTCAAGACTCAAGTGACTCTGAGGCTTATACAAAGAATACTGTCCACAAGAATACGGTGCCCCTTATGGCCAGTGATGAAGAAGTGGTTCATTATTGAGAGAAAAAAGCTCAATTAGGAGTAAATGTGTCTTATCTGGGTTATTTTTTCAATTAAAAAACATTGAATACAGCAATTCTCTTAAAGAGGGAAAACACTGTCTCCTAAGGTTTAGTTTGCAGGGGCTGATTTCAGTTTGACGTCTCTTTTCAAAGGGACAGGACTTCCTAAACTGTCTCAGGGAATTTGCTCAAAGGGAACTTTTCTTCCTTCCCTCCTTCTTCTTCCACTTTTTCCCCGCTCTACCTGCTTTGGGATTAAAGTCAAAGAATCCAAGGATGGAAAGACATGGTCTTTCATCAAGGGGCCTCAGGAGGGATTTTCGTCCCTGGTTTCTTATGTTCCCATCTCACTGGGACATGCCTCCGCTATCAATTTACCCCCATCTTATTCAAAAAGAAGTGGACAGTCGCTTTTTCTGTGCGTTCATCCTTTGTTCCAGCTTTTCTTTTGGAATCAGGGGACGCGTCTTTTCTTTCCACTGACTGTTCTTTGATGAGCAGTGTCTCAATTTAGGGTCAGTTGTTAATAACAGAGCATGTGACTCTCATGTGGTATCAGAGAGATTACCGTTCAATTACCGTGGAGGTATAAAATGGATGTGACAACTTTCGCATTCACATTTGCTTCAGCTCATCGTCTTCCAGCCAGCACAAACTGATATTTGGTTAGTACTCCTCCCCTGTAATGCTCCAATTATTATTATTTTTGCTTTTAGCTACCTCCTTAAAAAACATGTGACAAAGATGTCTGTTCACAGAGTTTTTGAATGAGTTGAAAAGTTTACCAGATGATAGTCCTTTGTGCGTTTTAAGAATTTAGTTGCCGAATTATTGAAGTAGCTGTGTTGTCTGTATATAAATATATATATTCTTCACATATAATATGCACTCCACTATGATACACATAGTGGCATACTATTTCTGTCCCCCTTCTATAGATTTGGATATTCATTTGTATTTTTAATGTAGTTTTGTAATTATGAGGCTACAGTCCGTCATTTGTTTTGACATCTTGACTTTCCATCAAACCTCCTGTGTGGATCTCTTTTGTTTTTTTTTCCTGAACTTATCCTGGCTTGATTGCTCCTTATTAAGGATCAGACAGTAGCAGCCTATAGTTTCAATTGAACAAAACTAGTACGACTGGTTTCTACATCTTTCTACGCTTTAAGTTAATGTCACTGATCCATCACTCATTAACATTTTTTGTCTACAGCTAAAAGCATTAGATTTTCATTGGTTTGCATTTTGAGACTTGCCCTGAGAACACACTGTTGAAAGCTGTTTAACTGCCAACTCATTGTTTTCAATATGAGCTGAATACTAATGTTAATAATAATGTTAATCCAAATTAAACATAAGCCGTTTCAAGCAAGCTGATATGTTGAGGGACTCCCTTCAAACAAGGAAACACTGAGTTGACCCTGCTTGTAACAAAAGAGGGAAAAGTTCTACCTTTGTATCTGTTTCTGATCGATACAGCGAGGGGTCATAAGAAGTTCCATAAAGCTGACTTGTTTGTGTTCATCAAACCAGTGCTTTGATGCAAACCGTGGTCATCCCCTAACTCTGACCTTTGACCACTGAGGCTGACCTCGTGCAAGTGGATGTTATTCAGTCTGACACAAACAAGCTGACACGGTAGCTAAAGGGAGAAAAAAAAAAAGTTCAGACACGCAAGCTTTAAACTGAGGCTTGCAGGTCGCTCATATTGAAAACAATGAGTTGGCAGTTAAACAGCTTTCAACAGTGTGTTCTTTAAGAAAATAAAGTTGACAAGAAGAGATGTGCGCCTCATGTTATTTGCCATGTTACATCTTTTGGCCGGAAGAGACATTTTTATTCTATGTCTTGACATGCTAAGGTTGCTCTTAATAATTTTCTAGTCAGCGTATTCATGCCTTGAAGAGTTATTGGCACAGTCTAGTGCCAAAACATCTGCAGAGGCTAAAAGAAGTAAAACAAGGAGTTTATATGTAGATATTTATATATTCAGATGTAGATAAACCAATATGTGACCAAATCATTTTGACAGGTTCTTATCTAGTAAGCAATAGAGAGGCAAGGAATTATTACAATAACCAAGAAATAATCTGTACAATTTCCTTATCAAAATCTAACAGCTCTTTGTCGATCATATCATATGTGTTGGTAAGCTATTTAGTTTATTTTGAAATAGGATTGACTGGTTGTCCTCATCTAATTCATTCTAAACCTCGAATAATGGAAACCTTTAAATCCAGATGGTTGTGTAATTTCTAGCACGACTTGAGATACATTTACATTAAATGCTGTGGTTCATCACATGAACGCTTGTTCTGACAGTCAGTGTTTGAAAAAAAGATAAAAGCTGCCCCTCGGGGATCGACAGAACTCTACCCAATTTGTGCGTGACATCGCTTATAACCTGTTGATTATCCAGTCAAATGTATCTATTCATCTCTGTGTCAAAATAAATGTCAATGATAGACAGCCAAACTATCCAGCAGAGCAAAGCATGATAAAACATATGTATTTTATCTCTCTGCTGTAAATATAGATCAGAGAGAAGAAGAAAAAACTGTTGCTTCGTGCTAGTTTGGAGTAGTGGAGCAAGGGGGGAGAACATTTCAGTCTGTAAAGGAACATTTTATTCTTTTTTGTCTAAAACTGAGGCAGGGCTGTGACAAATGCTCTGGGGAATACTGTTAAAATTAAATCTGTTCAAATTAAATCTAGCCCAAGGATGATTTGAGCTCAAAGATGAGGAAGGAAATCGGCATCGCTGTTGTAATATCAAAACCATCCAAAAAAATAAAGTGTTGAAATCAACGTAGGATCTTGGGGGAAATTGACTTCATTCCAACTCATGATGCCTCAACGGAAACTTTCTATCAACCAACCACCCACGAGCCGTCAACCTACCATTAAACCCCTGACAGTTTAACGGCTAGGCCTGAGAACCCACCTCACTTTACGGAACCTCTAGCTACAAAAGTAAAACTGAAAAGAGACAAATAAGTACCCTGGTGCTCGGTGGGCTCTCGACAATAGCGTTTAAAGAGGGTAAAATAGCTGTGGAGTTCTGGCAAACCAGAAGGCCTGTCCAGGGATAGAGTGGCACTATGTAAGCTATGTCATTTAGCTGCAGATAGCTGAGGGGAACGGGGAGCTCTTGACTATATTATTTAGCTAAAGTGGCGTACAGTAGGCAGGCAGTAAGTGTAGGCTTCTGTGTCAGACAGTAATTGATGTTTGGATACGGGGCCGCGGGAGGCTGAGCGACAGCGGGAAGCTTAGAGTTAGTCTGGTCTTAGTCTGGTTTAAGGGGGACACGCCGGAGTCTGTTTTCTTTATCACGAGAAAAATATATAATATCTACCTCAACAGCTGTGGTCCAAATCCTCAAAGAATTTGATCAAAATGTATGAAAAGGACGGGCAATTTTCAGCCGTGAACGTGGCAATAAGGGGACAAGACATGCAGAGGGATTCCAATAATAAACGACCACCTTTCAGACTGCCTTCTAAGGTGTCATTTCTACATCTCTCTTCTTAAAATGCCAATTTCTAAACACCACTTCTACTGAATTTTCGGGTATTGAAAGATATTTAATTGTAAAATAATAGAACCTGACACCAGTTAAACTGATCTCTTCAACAGCTTATTGTGTTCTTCTGTACGGGTGACTGAGCCAGGCGTGCTGAAGGTGGGAAACATCTAAAACATGCTGGGCAGACTCAGAAATGTCATTTCTTTTTAGACAAAGAAGTACTGTATTGTGGTTCAAATGAAGGCTGATTAACACACTCTGATTTTTAACATGAATTAGGACTGATGCTGTAGACTGGCTCAAACAGATCTAAACTTTAACATTAAATTTGACCAGTAGCAATCCAACTTAGGGACGTTAGCGCGGCCAAGCTAACTCAAAGTAAACTGAACACAGTTCAGAACTGCAAATGTGAAGACCTGTGCTGCCTCAGCATGTAACTGCAAAAGTGAATAGAATGAAAGTTTCTGCACCGTTGTTCTACCTTTCCACCTTTAATTGTGACTCCAGAACATATATTTCTTATACAAAGTCCTGGGTTGCATGGATCTAAATGTTTGAAGCATCTGACAGCTGCTTTATGAATTAATTCTACAGCATAACAGAATGACACAATAACTGCAAACAGCTCAAAGGGGGTTTACAGAAGAGTTTAAATGCTCAAAGGTGAAGCTTTTATAATCTGCTTTATTGTTAAGGAACTTCTGTCTCTGCAACACATAAAAAGCAGCTTCTAGACACACTGTATAATTAACAGAGATAAACCCTCTTACACCATGGGGATGCTGTCACTTTTTTAGGGTCTTGTCAGAGTCTAAGAATTTATATGAAGCCGAGAGGTTTATTCTGGCAAACAAAACAACAACAGGTTCGATTTAATTGTCACTGTTAGCTCCAGCCATAAATCAGAGGAGGGACCCGTTATGTTTGTTTGTACTAAAGGGTACATGTAGGACAGGACATGTAGTGCATTTGTCCTTAAAGGCAGCACGGCAGGTTTCGATTTGTCCTCCTTTCTTCAGAAAGAATAGCTCATCTTCTTCCAACATTTTTTGGAATGCTATTGGTTGTAGCTGATGTTCATCTATTGGTTTAAGTTAAAAGAAAATGACTTCCTCAGCTTGAGCTACACACCTTTTCATGTTGTGTTTTGTGAGCAAACAAATACACAAAAATAACATGCAGATACAAATCAAACGGCCATAATTGTGGGCATTCATTTTTGTATCTCTGGCTATGGTTCATGTAATGTGCCCTAAAGTGATGTTTTTTTCAAAACCTCTAATGAACTACATGAACACATCCAAAAAGAAACAAAACAAACAAAACCCAAAACATCTGTTTGGTGTACTTTGCTTACATGAATGGATCAAACAAACTGATGATAGATTGATTGTTTGCATGTTTCTTTACATTTATTCACGACTTCAATTCCTTTGAATGTATTCATATCGGTTATATCTGTAAGAAACAAATCAGTGGCAGTAATATTATGCAACCGTCTTTATCGGTCACACATGCTATAGAGAAGACTTTTTTCCCCATTAACCCAATTTTCAATTACTGTTGAGTTATTTGGTAAATACAGATACCGTTATCCCGGTCAAAAAACAAAATAGAAGTAATCTTAGTTAATCGGAAACACAAGTTCTAAAAGATAAAGATTAAAGGTAACCAGAAATGTAACATTTGGTTGTGCACAATCAGTCCCAAGTTGTTAAAATGATGATGTCCTCTGGTCTTTGAAACATGGAAAATGTCATTTTTCCCACCTTTTCTTTTGTAAAACCCACCCAGACGCATTATGCAAGTGACTCACCCTGCCGCCTTTCTCTGGAAAGCACTTGCATCCTCGACTGCAATCCCGGCCTCCACATTGCTCATCATACTTTTCGACCTGCAGGAAATTCAAAATGGCCGGTTAGAACAGGAGGCAACTCGCGAAAAGCAAGGCCTGTCTTTCTGTTGTGTAACAAACCTCACAATCATTATGACAGTTGGAAAGCAATTTAAAAGATAAGAAAAAGAAAACATATCACAACGGAATTTGTCACATCAGACAAGTTGTGGTTGCCGGATTAAAGTGGAGTTCAGAAATGGATGAGATCCAGCTTGATCTCTTTCTGGCTGCTGATGGATAAAGTGTGCGGCTTTTCCTAACGACTGACCTAATTATGTCGTTTCTAGACACAACATTCGCTACCAGGTTCCTCACATTATTATTTTTTTTTCACAAATGACTTTTCTTTCTTTTGGCTCGTCTTCTGTTGTGATCAAAATAGCCTTGGTTGCCAGTGAAATTTTTATTACCAGTGCTCCTTTGTACCAATGATTAGTAACTGAGTAACAACTCCCTCATAACTACAACCAAAGTCTAATATCTCCCTAAAAGAACCCAGCTAGGACGCAGGAGCTGCACTGAGGTTCCAACTTTTATCGAAAAAGAATAGATTTTTTGCCTTTTTTGCACGCTTGATGCATTAATCACTGAAAATACACAAAAATTACTTTAAAGACAGTGACATATCTATATGGAAATTTAACTAAAGGTCCTACATATTCCAGTCCTTGGTCCTGCCTTTGCTGTAACATACATGAAATTAAATGAATGGGTTCTTAACAGAACAGAACAGAACATCACACATAAACAGGGTGGTGGACCCTGAAAACTCAGGATCCACACTGCTCCAGATGCTTTGTAAGAGCAAATAGTAAACATTATTCACCATTTCTAGAAGCAATATAGGAGCTCATGTTAATCTGAGTGCACTGAAATCATCAGCTACTTGTTTTTTTTGTTTTTTTTTACAAAGGACAACATCGCTCGTGGGAGCTATGCCAGGATTTCATCTGACCTTTTCTGATGACTCCTATGACATAGCTCATGTGCTTAAGTTAACTTACTCCTTGTGGGGAGAAGAAGTCGAATCGCATTCCGACACAATTCCAAGTTAGGACAGACACAAGCTGGAATGTGTGCGTAATCCACACTAAGATTATTCACATGCTTAGCCCTGTGATTACTCCCAAGGTGCTTCAAATGTGAGAAAGGAGCGATCTCAAACACTAAACCGCTCGGCAGACAACAAAAGAAGGCAAACCTCACTGCGCCGTCGGGCGAACGTTGTTGACCCCAAGACGGCATCAAAAAGGAAACTTAACCTCGTTCACCCACGGTGACAGCGGACGAAACCCTTAGATCATGTGCAAGGAAAAGCTACTTTTACATTAATCCTGATTTATAATGTGGAGTTTCGCACTGTGACCAGCTGCTATTCCAAAAACTTTTAATGACTGGGTTATGTAGTTGGTTGCAATGACAGATTTGCGCCACTAGATGTCATTACAACTTACCACCGCACGATCACATGGTGAGGAGACATGTTTTACTTTCCATTCCTTTTTCAGTCACATGGAAAATTATAAAGTGTGCTGATCCAGCAAGTCATCTGATGATTGATAAATATACCCATTCATTGTGTATTCAGGGTTAAAATCAGGATATCTGCCTGTATTTCAATGTGATTGATGGACAAAATGGAGCTGCAAGAGGCTGAGGAACACATCTGGGGGGGTGTTAGGTTAGGTGATGGGGGGCAAAGGAGAGTCAGCTGGTGTCGAGGTTTAATGGTTCTAGTAAGAAATCTTTACCCAGTCGGGCTCGGGTCTTAACGCGGTACATAAGGGCCTGGGAACGTCTGGCACCCCACGTGAAGCTCTGAGACAAAGATCGTGACTTCGCCAGCAATTCTTTGTGTTTCTCACCATTAATGTCAGTATTGTTCCTCATGTTCATGCGTTTAGATTATATTTCATGGCGCTGAGACGTGTGATACCACTGGTGATGCTCTCAGTGCAATGCAAACAGAGTTTTGAATGCATGGCCATCGGAATAGCTGCAAAGGAGCGTTGAAAGTAAGATGACACCTTAAGATTAAGCATGGCCGAATAATGCTTGATCAGTGAACTAGCGTCAACTCCATAAACTGACACTTTTCTTACAGGTCTGAGCCTATTTCGTTTAAAAAGGGAGAAAAAAAATCCACCTACGACTTCTGATTGGCTCAGGTGCACAACCTCAGGTGTCTTTGAGAAGAGACGTTGAGAACGTGGAGTAAGAAAAGGAGGGGAAACAATACAAAGAGAAAGTGAGCTTGGCACAGAGAGGAGAAAGAAACAGAGAAGGAGGGGAAAGGTCATTGGTGCCGGTCCAGCTTTTTTTTCCCCCTCTGATCTCCACAACTTCTCTAATCACAGTGACAGAAGGAGGGCAATAGTGAGTTGGGGGGAAAAAAAGGGAACAAGACAGGGAGACAGACTGGCACAGAATAAGCCTGAAAAATATGGAGTGAAACCAAAAAGTTGGCAGCAGGCAGCACAGATTAAACTTCAGGAAGCTAAAAATAGAAGCAAAAATAAAAACTTAAATGAATGCCTCAAAGGAAGTCCTCCAGAAAACAAGGTAGTGGGAAAAAAATAAGCAAAATGTTGCCCATGAAGTTCCAACAAAAACAGGAGTTAAAAGCAAGCAGAATCATTTCTTTTCTTTTTCTTTTCTCCCCCCCCCCCACTCTGGGAGCCATTGTTCCCTTCTTATAATCCAGTTTCCACCTGAGCAGGGCGGAGATGCGCTTGAGATCTGATCTGTATTCAGCTTACTCCCGTCCACACCCTGAGTTAAAACTAATGGATTACATGGGGAAACACATGCTAAGCCTGTGCCTGAGGGGAATCGCTTCAAGCTCGGAGTCATAAAAACAAACAGATGCTTCAAATAAAGACTTGAAATCCGACAACGTTTGGACATGAAGGCACTGCTCATATTCGATGTAATGCATTTGTACAAGGGGCTCTTTAACAGCATATCATCTAACGCCCCAAAAACTCCTTGAAAAATGACTCTTTTTGAAATGATCTTCACTTATCGGGTCGAAAACGGGCTCTGACAAAAGGTGCAAGGGCAACAAAGCACCAATGCGCGCAGTCAACGTCGCCTTGTCCGGGTCAGACAAAGATTGCCTGAGAATCACGAGGACAATGAGCTGAAACCGGCCTCCACAATACGAGCGACACTCGATCATCTCATCACCGAATGCACTGAAACACAAGGAAGGAGTGTTTACAGTTGCTCTGTATTGATAAAAAAACAACAAAAAAAATACATTAAAAATATCCCATTTTTTCCCCTCCCATCGTTTGCAAATACTTAAGAAAATTGTGAAAATGGGAAGATAATCCTCCCCTTGCGGCGTCGTTTTTTTGCCCAATGAATGAATCTTTAAAGCTCTGCTATTATCACCGAACCTCAAAAAAGAATAGAGTAGTATGAGAGTATGAGGAGACTGGGACTGTGGTAACAAAGGGTCTAAACCTCAATTTAGCAGCTGGGTTGGCGATTTAACATAAATATAAACTGAGGATTTTTCAGTTTGCGTTATAATATCCCAACCCTTATGTAATAGGAGGTAAAAATGTGTCATCTTTGATCGTAAAAGCTCTGGTATGATTGCGTTTGAATCAGACTTGCCCTTTTTCCGGGGTATGGAAATGTACTAAATGTACAGATTGCCTAATGTATGTGCTGTTACGAGATCCAAAAAAAACAACACGGAGCGTGTTACTTCAAATCCTTCAATGTCCTGACTGAACAGACTCAGGTGAGAGTGGATCCAGGTCTGCGCATATCCCCTTTTCCATTCCGTCAATCCGACGTTACCCAGCTATGTGCCTTTCAGCTTTGGCCTGTACTTTCCAATCAATCTCCTCCTTGTTTGCTCATACTTTACTGTCCGATCTCTTTCAGGTACGAATGTCTAACTGAGATGTTTCAGAAGTCTCTGTAATACCCCCCCACCCTGAGAAAAAGCAGCCCGCGGGTAACGGCTGGTGCCTGGACTTGCCCCGTTCATTCCTATAGGCTCTGCTGATGTTATCCGGATAAGGGTCAAATCCACCAAAAATAGGGTATACCCTGACGCTTCCTGAGATATAATGTTGAGAAAACAGTTTTTTTTTCTCTTCTTTTTCTCCTTTAAGTAAGATAGAGCTGTACGTGCTTGTGTTATGGAATTCCACCCTTCTATTAGGGTGGTTGGTGGCTTACAAAAGCCAGGGGGGGGGGGAATGTGCGAACCTGTGCCTTAAACAAACAGAGGAAGACTGCTCCACCATCTCGTGCAGGGATGCTAAAGGACAATGAGCCTCCTATGGCTCTGTCACCTATTCAGAAACACACTGCCTGTATTCATTTATCCCGTTTTTCTGCCTCCGGGTGCTTTAAACACACACACACACACACATGCGCACAACTATATCACCATCTACAAACCCTGCATTCTATCTAAAAGTTGTTATTTGCCACTACTGGCATAGTGGAGATTTCACATACTTGTCATTGATTTGCATTGCTAATTGTTTTTTGACTCGTTTATAGTCTGACTAGGGCGTCAATGCAGCAAAATAATCAGAAGAACGAACGTTAAAAGGCAATTTCGGTCACTTGTTAAATAGGTGGTGTGCATGCAAAGCAGGAAATAAGCAATTTGCACAAACAGGAAGTACCTGATTTCTAACAGAGCAGCAAGAGAGAAAATTAGGACTCGGGGGCAGTACTGTTGGTACTGTATTGGTTAGTCCAGTTAACTGGAACTGGGATCGGTGATATAAAGGTTTGTTGTGGTGTGTTTAGTGTGTGCGTGTAATATAATTGTGAAATGATCAGATATCAGAATTTAGAGGCAGGGTTGGACTAAAGGGGAGCTGAAACAATAAGCTCTACTTATCGTTATTATACAACTATTTTAAAAAAATGTCTTCAATTGCGTTGTCTGCCGTGAACTTTGAAAGGTTTTTCGTGCCCAAATCTAAGAGGAACGAATGTTATTTTAACTCCCTAAAGCTGACTTACAGTGGATGAAAGGTTCTAATCCCACTGTCAATCAGCCTGAACCATAGTGTTATGAAAGTTCATTCCAAGACTTGCCAATCAAACTGCATTTTCAGCGACTACTTACAGGTAGTGTTGTTTCAAGAAACTTGTATGAGATACTCCTAATGATGGATATTTTTAAATGGCAAAGTGCATTCCCCAAAAAAAAGGGAGAGAAAAGATACAAGAAGAACCCAAAGAAAGAAGGAAACCATTTATTACGTCCCTATGTTATTTATTTACTTTAGAATAATCCATCACTTTTCTCCTTCATTTACTCAATCTCTTCCTCCTGACCCTATCCCCTCCCTCCTCTTAGTCTTTCATCGGTCTCCATCTGTGACCCTGACATCCACCACGGGAGACAGCCAGCTGTGTTTGGGGCTCCAGCGTTGCTCATTTGTTTATTCCTCGCCATTCTGTGCATTATGGCTGGTGTTTCTGAGCACTACAGAGCTCGCACGAATGGGGAAATGTGAGTCTTCCTGTACATTCGAGGGGCTATTTCACTTTTGTATCTGTAATTAGGTTCACATTTTGACGTACGCTTTGAGTGCCTTCCCCTTCGTCGGGCCACGCAAATGGACGCAGGTCATCTATAACTTGGCCGCGGAAATTTGTGAAGCTAAAGCGAATCCAAACAGGACACCACACACGCAGCCAGCTGACTTGGCTGGCGGCTGCAAATTAACTGCAGTCCGTTTAAAAAAAAAAGAAAAGGGCTTTAACACAGAGGAGAGAATTCCCTTTTACAGTATCTTAAAACTGCCTTTTAAGACTTTGTGCGTAAGAGGCAGAGTAAAAACCCTTTAAAACGTCTCCGTCAACCTTTTCTGCAGCCATTCTTTAAATAAAGGCTAACTCTTGGACATAGTGTTGAAAATATTGCTCTGTTCAAGCTATATCTTAGACAATAAAGAGGGCAAATTAGGAACCTAGTGTTTTAGCTAGCTCTGTTGAAGCTAATAATGATAAATTAGCTCATCTTTTGTGCTGAATAGGCACGCTTTAGCTAACAGTCTGCTGTATTTGTTATTTAAAAAAGTTAATCATTGTTCCTAACATCACTGTCTTCTATTAATATTCTCAGTTTCTTCATATAAAGTGTAATCTGTAATGGGAATATCCCCCTCTGCATTTCCCAATATATAATCCTGTTGTTACAGCAAGTGTGGCAAAATCCCTTAATGTCAAAGTCTAAATACAGGCACAGCATGGTTTAACTTGCATAGCTAAAGTAAACTAATATTTCAGGAGCTAATCTTCTTCTGAGTACCACATCTCTCCTGACACTGAGGACATGTGGAATTACCCCCATGACAAACCGCTCTGCTCTAACTAAGCATGGAAACACAGTGAGAAATTAAATGAATAAAAATGCCCTGAAACAATGATTGAAAGTAGAAATAAATGCCAGATTTTAAGACAAATATTTATTTCAGTCCATGCACCCATCATCAATCACTTTTGTCTAAGGTCTTTAAATCATTTTGCCCGGACATGTTCACTTACAGTATGCAAATTCTCCTCAAAATATGTCAGGTGACAAATCAAACCCTGCATGGTGCTAAAAGTAAAGAAACGAACAGAATCCTTGTCAGCGATGCAAGATCATTTAGAGGCAGCATATATGTACTGAAAATTACATGAATAATGTAGGAGAGTGTACGTGAGTTTTCTAAGAAACACCAAATATTAGAATGTTATAATACTTCAACACAGCTGAAAAGCTACAAACATTAAAAAAAAATTGAAATTCATATCTAGCAACGTCTCCAACAGTGTTCAGAATTGAAGGATAAGTGTTTTTCTTTCACCACTGACGAGGCTAAACCAACTTATTTGCACTCACTTGCACGCATGCTTGCAAAAACACAACTGCGTTCGTTACAACACACACACATACAGTAAATCCCCATTTCTCTATCCTCTGGCAAAGCATTCTGCAGCCATCATGGAACAGAGACGTTGCTATTAGCAGGATTAGGGCTCTACCTGCCTAGCCTTGTTGGCCCTGTCTCCCTCATGTTGTCCCGCTCTTTCGTCTCTGCATGAACACAATTAGAGACTTAAAGGGAGGGAGATTCTTCACAATTTCATCATGTCTTTTATGAAAAAAAAAAGAAAGGCGAGAACAGGCACGCACATAGCTCAAAAAGCTAACTTGTATGTTCTGGCTAATACCTCTCACGTGGATTCAGGTCTCTTTAAGTGGCATTCAGTCCTGCCAGAGGGCTTAATTACAGCTAAGTGCAAATTTTTTAGTCACTAGTCAAATGTTAGGACTATCATTCATCACGCAATCGGGGACCTGGTTTGCCCAGATCCAATAACCGTAAGCAAAGAGGGGACAGCTCCGTATTGCTGTTGCCTCCAAGAGTTACGGTTACCTGAGCAGTAGAACTTATGGACTAGAAAATCTAACATTTCTTGGTTGCATGTACTGGTGCAAAAGCTGGACTATTTATTAAGTTGACTTAAACATTCACATCTAGATGCTATATTTGTTTCCCAGGCTCTATTTCTACCCAAACCCAAAAGATTTGGTGTCACATTGAAGTCCAGTCATTTTCTTTCCATCCACACCTTGGAGAGTTCTCCTAGGAGTAAACCCACTGAAAGTTTTATATCTATGCAATGCGCATAGGATGCTTCAACCCCGCAATGTTCCTCGTTTTTACAAAGTTGGGCTTCGAACCTTTAATGTATCAGCAATCAACTGCTGCTTAATGGAGTCCTAGGTTGATCATCCAGAGTCTTCTTAGACATAAAACTGTGGCCATCAACTTTTGAAACACGGTATGATATCCACTCTGAACATTACTACCTCATGCAGATATCCCAGCTCTTCATCTAAGAGACAGACAGTTTGCATCGTGAGAATATGAGCTTCCGGTCTGGGTTCTGTTTCTCTCCCGCCTGCTATGAATCTGCTCTGTTAGCGTAACTGCTTAAAAATAGTCCCAAACGGCCAGATTTAGAACTGGGTGTCGCATTCAAAGTGCACCTAGGGTCAGGAATCATTTAAACAGGGTGTTGAGCATAGGAAAAAGTTGTTCAATCTGATCTCAAACAGCAGAGATAATAGCGCTGTTACTCTTTCAAACTTCAACAAACTGATCCTGAAAAAATAAATAAATCAGAACCATAAATAAGTCATTTGAAAATGACTGATCCAGGAAAAATTTAATTTTGGGATTTCCAAAGCACACTAAGCCTTTTCCATTGTGTCAGTCGTGCAAATCACAGCCTGCGGAAACAATTTATTATCTGTTTTCCCTTTTTTTTTAACAGTCGTGTTGAAATTCTGACAGCAGTAAGGCACACCACATCATTATTTTTGTGTGTTACTGAAAGTAGTTGGATGCCCGATGGCACAATTGGCACGAACACTCAGACTCTCTGCTCCTCTCCGCCCTCATCTGATAGCAATAAAAAGACCTCCTAGATGTGCGTAACACAACTGGCTGGAACACAGACGCAAATAAAGAAATCGAGTCGTTTTGGAGCCAAAATAAACAGCACTGCTGTCCGGACTAGAGTGCTGACATTAAAGGGGATAGGGAGTGTATGTTTAGGTCTTAATCATTCATAGAATATTCACTGGCTAGTCAGGAAGGGCTTTAACATGATGAAATATGTGGAAAGAAAGCAGTTGCCATCATGGTTTTGGTGTCTGCCATGCCTTGAATACAGCAGTTATCATAAAATGAGGCTTCATAAAAGCTGTACAGCATCTTACAGCATAATTCATTTGCATTTGGTCATGGATAATTAAAATTTAAGCCAAATAACATATAACATATGTTACAAATAACACCCAGTATTCGGCTAAAGTCACCTTTCGTCAAAACAGACTGTTAGCTGAACAGAAATTCGGCAAAAGTGCTATATATTCGGTACCAAGACTATCTAATTTACCATTATTAGCTTCGACAGAGCAGGATAAAAGTGTGCATTCCTTTTCCTTGAGCAGAGCAATATTTTCGATACTATGTTCAAGAAAACGTCTTTAGTTGAACAATGGCTTCTAAGAAGGTTTACGAAGGTATTTAAAGTGTTCTTACGCACAAGTTCTCATAAAGCCGTTTTAAGATACCGTGAAAGGGAATTGTCTGCGTTTGTCTTATTTTGAGTGTGTTTTCAGAACAAAGCGGCCTGACTCACGGTTGTTAGCTTAGGCAGAACGAGCTACAATTCTAAAAAAAAAATGCTAAAACACTCCTATATTTAGATCCATGACTGTGCAGCTCAAGAACATTTTGGGAAACCAATGGAAGACCCACGTGGATCTATTTTCTGCTTTTGGAAACTAAGTCACCATGATTCTTTAACGTACATGTGCATAGCTTCTAAATGTGTCATAACAGTATCAGCAGCAAGATTTCTAATTTTGAATAAAAACCTGCCGTCAAAAACTGGCCTTGCCTGACACACCGTTTTCCCATCATGTTCTTTCCCTTATTGTCATCGACGTTTTCAGTCTTATGCAACATCCGCTACTGTTGCTGCGGCACTTCAGTACGCCAATAAATCACTCCCCGTTTTAAGTGTATAAGCAAGAGACTTTACATCTGACCACAAAAATGTTCAGACACTTCTCGCAAATTAGTCGGAGCACGGCAAAGACAAGGATCGCTTCCTTAAAAGACGGTGCTGAAGGAGGTGTAGGGAAACGACCCATAACCGCAGAGGAGTGTGGGTGATTGATATTCAGCTATCAAAGCAAGGCAAGCAAACAGGAGCCAGAGCAAGATAAACGACGTTAAACATAATGTTTACATCCCCGGAGGACAGCACGATGCTAATATAAGCATACAGCAGTCAAAACCAGTTACCAAATATAATTTTGTCTCATGATCAACATGAAATACTCTAAATAGACGGGGCAAAACAGTTTTTAGGAGTTTTAATCTGTTTAAAAGAATAATTTAGTCACTGGCAGTTGTGTATTGGTGGATGAAGAAAAGTTTTTTGGGGTTTCTTAGATCGATAATCACTCAAAATCCAAAAAGTTTAAAAAAGACCAGTCTAAGTGAGTCCCTCCCAAGCAAACATCTGTGCAGATGTGTGGTGCTCAACAACAGGCCTGGGAGACACGCAGGGCTCTTACACAAAGTGACAGTGTCGGCCCTCCTGATAATCACCCCCTTTGAAGTGCACTGAGCAGCCCTCGCCCGAAGGGGGGGGAGGGGCTCTTGAGGAGGGAAGGGGGAGGCACATGGGGGAGGTGGAGGGGTACATAATGGGTATGAACAATGGCAGAAAAAGAACCAGAGTAGTTAAAGATGTGCTTGCTCTCCAGAAGGCGTGGATGACATAAAGAATGGAAATATACTTTCCCCGTGGGAGAAAAATTGTCTGGTCTGGCGTAAAGCTGTAAAGCATACGTGCACAGGTAAAATATATGAGTGTGTTTGGCATATACATCCCAACAACCACTGCGATCAGCTGGAATTTTACAAACACGAAACCCAAGATGCGTTCAATGTGCCTCTGGAAAGGGGAACTGGAGGGGGACTCGTCACAAAGCGCTCCGCTGGGATAGTTTAAAGTTTCGTCCAAACAACAAGTGAAAGCTGAGACCCTACAGATTGATGTGAAATGAAAAAATATCTGCGGGCACAAATGAGAAAGATGTGTCCCCGCAGGCCTGTGAGCTTTGGGCAAGGAGCTGGTAGGTAAATCGTCTGGGATGATCCCCGTGTCCGCTGGCCTTGTTACGCTATCAATTTTGGCCCACTGGGCAGCTTAACTCCTCTTTGGACTGCTGTGTGGTAACACCCTGTTGAACACATTCCCATGGAACACGCAGGAGAACGCAACTAAACAACTCAGGAAATAAAGAAAATCATTCTAATTTCACTCATTGCTTGGATTGTAAGCAGAGTCGTAGAGTCTGTAGACGGCCACATTCCTCCAATCTTACTACACAATTTGACAGGCGTCACTACCTATTTGGCAACAATCGCTGTGTATCTAAACGTAAATCCATTATAAAAAACACATACAGCAATTTCCAATTTTGAGTGCAAAGAAAAAGTAGGAGACAGTAAAGAAGAAAAAGTAGTCATTCTGGGCATGGGCCCCCCCAAATGAATGCCTGTTTGCCATCAGTTCAGTTTTTATGTCAAGGCATCCTGACATATTGGACTTTGACATCAGCATCTAAGGGCTCTTACAGACTGAGCTCATGGAAGGAACCAGAGTCAACCCCGGCATAACCCTGAGAGCCCTCGAACATACCACAAAGCTGACTTCCGACCCTCCCTTCTGGACCTACCATGTGCGTCTTTTACTGTAAAACAAGGGGGAGAGTGGGAGGCCGGGTAGATAAAATGAGAGTAAACGCGGCGGCGTGTGTTTTGTCTTCGATGGCGTGTAGAACGAGGTGCTTACATAGCTGGACATGCTTGCGTTTTCAGGGTTTTTGTGAGAACCGGCTATCTGTCCTTGGGCTCCAGCTGTGCGTCAAACCTCCCGACATGGCACAGATGAAGAGATATCTAGATTGACTGTAAATCTCCGCAAATAACACAATTATTTCCCCCTGACGCTTCAGGTTGGCTTGCCTTAATGTCGTCGCATTAGAGTCAATTGCTCCACACAACCGTAAAGGAGGTTTGATTGGCTCTAGGAAGTCAGTTGAGCTGATGGCGTATGCGTGAGAATCTCTAGGAGGGTGCACCTAAGGTAGGCTGACCCGTGAAACTACACCCACCACTTCGGCCCTCTTATTTTTAGTGACGGAAGTTTCACCATCCCTCTGTTTTCCCTCCATGTCGAGGAGGTGTGAACGGAGAAACTGGTTGTAATCCAGGCGCATACCCCTCTGGGCTTGCGGGGCGGGTGGCACCTATGTGTCTGTTTGACGGGCCGATGTCGTCCCAGGTTGTAAATTTATGTATCTAACTCCGATCTACGCTCGATACCCGATACGCATTTGTGTCAAGAGTGTGTGTCGGGGCATGTGTGTGTGTGTGTGTGAGCCTCCCATCTGCGCACACTGCTGAATTCCACACGTTTGGGCTGTAAGTAAACACAACTCTGGCACCAGAGCCACAGACAGATGTTCTGTCTTTTTTCCCCCCCGGACGAGGAATGGACATCAATCATTTTTCCCACGTTTTCCCTGGTTTGCGTTTGTTTTCCCCGTCCACCTCCGCTGTGTTGATTTGCAGTGGGGGTTTTTCGGTCCAGGTTCAAACTCCCGAGGAGTTTTTTGGACAGCCGACCTGCAAAAGTCTGTATTTTGGTTCCATCGCAGGAGTTACGTATCCGACTGTCACTTTATCTCGATATTCAGATAATCTGTATTTCAGGGAGTTTGACAAAAAGCGAAGTTGAGATTAACACCCAAGTTGTGACATTTCTAATGAGTTGTAAGCAAACCCATCAGTAAAATTATTTTTGTGCTTTTTTACCATTTAAAGAGAAGCAGAAATGTAAAATAAATTCTTTCTTGACACGCGCACAATAAAATCTGCATTGCCAAATCCAGGACAAAGCCTGACAGCCAAGACAAGTCAGGATTTGAAAATAATAAAGACAGCAAATGTATATTTGTATATTCTCATGTGATTTTTTACTGTCAACAGTTTTATTTCAGATAATCCCTGGTGGGATAAAAATAAATCTCAATGACTTCAAAACAAAGATCCAAACTGGATCAATCGTAAAGCCGCCACAAAATATGAAGAGCAAACAGACTTGCTCTCTGTCTGAGGCGGTCGCATCGAATAAACGCTCTGACTCGCCTTTGCCCGCCGCCAGCCACAAAAGATCATCACCAGAAGACCGCAGTTCAAAGCAAATCGTTACACTGACTAGACTTTTGTCTCTTAAATGACTGAGTAACCCGAGGCGTTCCTCATTCCTCCATTTCTTAATTTCATCCAACCATTAAACACAATTTCCTCCGGCATCACCTTCTATGATCCCTCGGTGAGTCAGGTCAACGCCGGCCTGATTAACCTTCACTCGCGACTATAAAACCTCCTCATCCATCATTACAAGCCTGCTTTCTGCCTGTAGAGCAGTCGAATCTGAAAATGTTGGGGCATCCACATTATATCCCCTCAGCTTACCCATTCCCCACCATCCCCATGGCGACGTATGGGCCTCCTGTCCTCTGGAACGATCGAGGCCGGTCAAAAAAACGACCATTTGGCATCCGCACAGTCGCATACGTCGAAACCACAAGCTACAGAGCTCTGTAACACGCCTGGGAGCCCTGCACAGGTGAAGGTGTGTCTCGCAAAGGAAAGGAAGGTGTGTTTGGGACCGCACCAGGCAGAAAATAGAGCCTCTCTGCCAGGCCAGCTGACCCCGGCCTGACGGTTCCCGTTCTGTCCACAGGGGGCAACGCGGAGACGGAGAAAAAACCCAAGTCCTGTGTTCAGTTTCCGTGCGGTAGGATCACAAAAGATGGGGAAATTCCAACCGCTGACCTAAAACGCAAGCAAACACACACACACCTGGGAGAGCCTGAAGCAGGGTAATGAGAGCAGCGGAATTGTACAGTCCATTAGAGTCCGCTTTCACCCTCCTGACTAAAAACTGATCAGGTAACACCCCGACAGGGACATGTGCGTCCCCCCTCTCTGTCGGGGACTCCGTTTTGTTAGCCAAAGGCTCTCGGACCAAATGTTCCTTCAGTTCTGATTAGCAAACGTCATTTGCAAGCAAAACTCGCCAACAAAATAGGAAAGTGAGAAGAAGTGATCCACGAGGCTGTGTTACCGACATGCTCAATCTTCATCAGTTTAAATCTAAATCGGTGGAATTCCCTTAATCATAAATAAGAGAATCCAAAGCAATCCAGGGATGAGATGTTGCTGTAAGGAGTCCTACAACACTCCCAAAACAGTAAAAGCCGTTCTAAAACCAGGATCTGGTTTTATGGTTCTTTGGTTTTTTATGGTTCTATGTTGTTTTTTCATTTTTGTCCTGAATTCTTTTATCTCCTCTTGAAAAACAAAAAACATATATACCTATATATATATAGGTATGTCATCAGGGTGGAAGCAGGCCTGTGTACAAGTGGCTTGTAGTCAAAGAGAAACCCCCAGCCAAAGCATAGACACCCCCCCTCACCTCCTACGCTCTCAGCTTTTCTCTAAGCGGCATGGCGAGGTTAAAATATCACCCTGACGCTCCTTCTATTGTGATCTGATCCACCTCTTTCTCTTCCCCTCCAAAGGCACAGTCAGGCGTGCATTTCAGTGGATGCCTGACCATCTATTTTGCGCCTGAGAGCGAGGAAGCGCGGGGAAGGGGGGGCGGGGGTTGGACAGAGAGACGGAAGAGAGAACAACAGAGGTACCTACAGACCGTAAGACTTTGGATGGGAGGCAGTAAAATACACTGTGAGGAGCTCTGTTTCCATCCATGAGGCTCAATAACAGGCCAGAAAGAGACTCAACTGCTTCAATTTCCCTAATTTCCAAAGCTAGTATTCCAAAATTGATCGGAAAAATGTATCAATTAACGCGTTGACTCAAACAAAGTCTAAATCTTTCATTACTGATGTATTAGTAACCGACACAAATAAAAAATAAGGCTACACGGTACAGAGAAATGGGTCGAAAAATAATCTAAAGAGGAGAAAAGCGTGCGAAAAGTGTGTGAGAGACGGGACGGGGAAAGAAGGCAGGTGGTTATCCTTCAGATGATGGATAGCAGGAGGGTGAACAGAGCGGGAAAAGGCATGGAAACTGTTTTTCTTTCCTTCCATCCCACCGATTCAACTCACTAAATTACAAGCTGTTACCTCCCACCTGCGAAACTCTCTTCACAAACACACTCGCGCGCGCACACACACACACACAATAAGCCTGAAAATTCTACCCTTAGATGTTGGGGGTCCCCGGGCGATGTGTATATTTACGTGTGCGCGAGAAGAGGCAGCTCATGGAATAAATCTTGGCGGAAGCAGCAGCTGTGGTTAACAATGATGAAAGCCAAGCACTGTAGGAGTCGTCGTTTAAGGTGGTTTACAGAGATCTCTCCTGTCTCTCCCGTTGCCCCGCCGACTTACCCCAAGATGGGGAGGCCGGGAATGGGGATAGGAAGCTGAAGATTAATAAAGTGACACCACAAAAAAAAATAGAAAGAAAGAAAGAAAAAAAAAGGCGGCCTTACACAAACATCTGTCGTCACTGAGATTAAAGCTGAAAGAAGAAAAGGCAACGGGTATGAGATACTTCCGATGCAGCTAGTCAAAAGAGAAAACTTTTTTGACA